TATTGTACTTTAAATTGATATGTTGCCTAAAACAACCTACACCAGGGTTCTACACTGGTGTAACAATACTTTAGTTGCTTTTTAATGTCCAATGATAACACTCAAGTTGTCCATGTGAGTATCTTCTCATTTTTAGCAAAATAACTGAAGTTAGCCCTTGTGCAGTTTGGCGACTGATACCTTAACGATGAGTCTAGGCTTTCTCAACTGGACTCTGAAGCATGATTTCAATCCAAGACCTCCATTAGGTGCAGGTTTCCTTTAAAAGCCACAAAGCAGCAGTAAGGCAAAACATCTGTGAATAGTTGAGTCACTAGTCAAAAAAAATGTGTCAACCATGTCATGAATTCAAGAATTTTAGACCATAAAAAAAATCTGTTAATTCTAATCTAGATGGATTTGTGATATTCATTATTTTGCCCATTAACACTTGGTACCTAGATTGTGGGGTACTTTATACTGAATAAGCAAGTGCTAGACCTATGCTAATTTGTTCCTAATTTCATAGGGCAATATTTTATTAGTTCGCTAACACTGCCAGCATACTGAGACTCTGGTAAGAACAACCACTGACGTGGTCAACTCAAACAGCATGGTAACTGAAGTTTTGATGTTGCTGAGAGGAGGATTAATATCTTCTTTCAATTTGTATCAAAAGGTGAGACATCCATCTGAGAATTGTTAGAACAGGACCTGCAAGTTAATAATTGTGTCCGGGAAACTCATTAACCTACAAAATCTCAGGAGAAGCCAACTTCATAAAAACAACACGTTAGCACCAAATCAACACATCACAGGTTACTGTGACTTCTGGGATTCCACTCAAATCATGCTCAGAGGGATGGAAAGAATCAGCCTGAAGGTGATACACATCATAATATGGCCACAGGCTCAACCCCTTACCTGTGCTAGGACAGCAAGACATAGCCAGAAGCAACTGAAGCATAATTGGAGTCAGTTGGCCCAGGCAAAAGTTTGGAGTGCTAGAGATAAAGAAAATCAGCAAGAGCTTTTCCCATCTTCACACACTGCTAAGAAACCCGTTTGAGAGAAAGCACAAGAGCGAGCAAGGGAGTGAGACTGAACATGAAGCAAGGGCAAACAATTTCAGCAGCGATGATAACCAATCTAAAAGCCATTGATTACTTCCTGCAGTTTAAGACAGAACCAACACCCAATGAGGTATGAAGGTAGCTGTGTAGTATCCAGAGTTAACATCTCAAAACAGAAGTAGCTTTCAAAGTTGTGAAGCTTTCTGCTAAACCACATGCCAAAGATGCTTTATTCAAGACGGAACGACACTGTCCAAACAGGATCTGGACTGAACAGCACAAAAACATTGCTAATTTATGTTTACTAGCCACAACAATAGAAAAGATCACATCAATGACTTAACTATATAGTATTTTGGCATCTGTATCTGGCCATAATAAGGTAATGCAATTGGAATCCATGGACTATTAGTCCAACACTACCATGGCTATAATCAGCTTCACTTTCAAGCAATTGCAAATCTAAGGCATTTATTGGCTTGGATTTCCTCACTCAAATACTAAGAGGTGATCAAGGCCACTCCTATTCATCCTCACACCAACACAATAATGTTGGACAAAAGCAGAAGAGACATAATCCTTGAATAAAGGCACAGCTGACAAAACTCTAAAAAGGCTACGCAATCTCTTCAACACAAATGAACGTAGCTCACACTAGCCATCCCCGAGGTTCTCCAAAAGGGTGCTTTTCCCAGATACACAAACTTTACAACCTGACAGACTGTGTTATCAAAGACTGGATGGTATTTTGTGACCAACTATAGGAGAACTGCAAGCTGATATATATCAACACAAAAAACTACAAAGCATATAAAGTACTGCAGCTAAAATGTTTTTGCCTTTGCTCTTCCTTCGGCAGATACCTTGCGATGTTTTTCTGTGTTAAAGGTTCTATACAAATTCAAGTTGTTGTTGCTCGAGTGGCTGCCTATTCCCATTAAGCTTGATTGTTTCTGTAACATATTTTCCATGTTCATTATAGGAACGCTAGCACTGTTTGAGGATATCAAGGTTATTAATTTGCATTTTAGGCTATGAACCAAACTAATGGCAGCAGCTGGTCACACTCTTCCCTCAGTCTCAAGGTTGTGGGCTCATTTCCCACCATAGGACTTGATCTCTCAATCTTGTGTGCAAAGTTCTGAATCGTTGCAGCACTGTCTTTTGAATGGGATGTGAAACCAGAGCTCCACCTGCTTGACTCAAAGGTTTGTGAATAGAGTAGAAAGCACTCTACCCCAGTCAACATTCAATTCAACAGTCAAGACCAGCAATAACAACAAATTAGTTATTTTATTTCCTTTGCCTTTGTTACCTGTGCATTTGATTATTCCAACGTATAGTCAATCCTCCACATTTAACTCTCCATAAACTTGAAACCATTCAAAGCTGTATCGTTAGTGATACAAAACCCAGTTCACCTTTCAGTCCTGTGTTCAGTGGCTTACACTGGTTCCTGGTCAGAAACATCAGGAACCTTCCCTTCCTTATTTTCAATTCCATCATCTTTATCCAGGACTCAAGCATAAACATCTCGGTTGATAACCCAATGCAATACGAAGAAATGTTGCAATGTCAGAGTTAATGTCTTTTGGATGAAGCATTATATCTGGGGTCCCTCCTATCCTCTCAGGTAGATGTAAATGATCCTATTGCATCACGGTGAAAAGCATGGGAGTTACCCCAGTGTATGGACAATATTTATCCTCCAATCAAATGAAAAGTAGTTACTTGTGGGAGCTTGCTGTGCACAATTTTGCTGCCAATTTTTTTTACAATGATTATACTTCAAAAAGTGCTTTGTAAGTTGTAAAATACTTTGGAGCATCCTATGGTGATGAAAGATGCTATATAAATGCGAGCGTGTTTCTGTAGCCCCCATACCTGCACTTCTCCAATTCTGATCTAGAGTATCTCCAGGCTTTACAATTAACTACTGGCAGCTGTACCTTCAGCTGCAGAAACTATATTTTCTGGAATTCCTTCCTTAAACCTCTCCATCCCTCTCTTGCTTTAAGATGGTGTTTAAAACATCTCTCTTCTGGTCTAATATGTCAAGTGGCTGGGTATCCAAAACTTTATTGCTCTCATGAAGTGCCTTGGAATGTTTCACCATGTTAAAGAACTCAAAAGTATTGTGTTTTTGATCACATAACCTGGCTGCCAAGTTTGCCGATATGACTGTAATTGTACTTCCAAAGTAATTTATTTGCTGCAAGAGTGCTTTGGACAACCTGGAATCATGGTCAGGCACTATGTAAATAAAAGAAGATTATTTCTCCATTGTAAACGTGAACCTGTGTCACAGAGCCAGGGTCCCAGACAAGTAGTTTATGCAGGACACGGCTCTGTTCCAACGTACAGTGTTATCATTCACAGAAGATTGGTAACTAGAAGCAACAGAGCAACTTGCTTCATGTAAACAGGTTTTAAGATCAGGGACCGATTTAAAAAATGCTTCGGAATCACCAACATTAATCAGAAAGAACAGGCTAATGTCTGGGTGAAGACAGAGCTTCAGACACACATTCATTTGTGACAATGTCTCCACCCTAAACCATGACCTCTCTCTTTCAGATTCCAACTAAATTGGTGTGTATTTCAGAATTTTGTGTTACAATTTCAGTACGCCTACATTCAACTTCAACTTTATCTGCAATAAACACTCAAGATGACACCCATTTCAGAATTTTGGCAAAACTCTGAAAAATCCTTTTGTATAAAAATGATGCATTGCTCGATGAACATATCCCAGTATCCGTTTAACTCTTCTCCTCACTGCACTGCTGCATGCAGAACCGATCCAAGTCTTAGGGAAGGATCATCCATGCCCAGAAGCCAGCATCAGTTTACATTTCAGTCCTTAAGCATTAAGAATATTCTTCGATGATTTCATTGCTCAATAAAGGAGAAGTACAATACTGCAACTAGGTTTAAAAAAAAACCATGTCGCATGAGCGCATATAATCCACACAAGTCATGTGAGCCATTCCTGAGTAACAGCTTCTCCATTTTTCTGTAGATTTAACACCCAATTAATTGGCAAAGAAAAAGACTATTTGCTCAATTGTGCACATTATGCTAACAATAGAACAAGCATGCAGAAACAGAATACAGGTACGGAAAGAAAGCATCACGCCATGCTCTCCACACCAACAGTCACTATCCCATCTCCTCACCATTTCCCAGAACCCTTCACTCCTGTCAACCACCAACCAATTCTTAAATGGCCTCTGGTCACATAAAACTCTGTTCCATCCCTTCGTAACTTAACATGTCAAACTACTCCATCATCTCCTGTTCTAATGACAAAAGGGTCAAAATGAGCATGAATCACGCTGTTACAGCATCTCAGAATGCAACAGGAAGAAAAAGACATAAAATCCTGGGCATAAACACTGTCTGTAACTGGAGTTTCAGCTTGGGTGGGCAGGGATGCCTGGTCCACAGGTTTGGAGCAAGAATCCTGAACTGGCAGATCAGGAATTGAGGTGGAGATGAATAAGGAATCGAGGTGTGGATGCAGTCAGATCAGTGATCTGCAGAAAGGGACCTCCAAATCTCGGGTGTGGTGCAGTGGTGAGATCTAACAAGTAATGTCTGGGAGCAAGTAGGGAAAGGGTATGGCTTGGTTGGGAGTTTTGGGGGCGGGGGAGGGACGTGGAGCTAAGGATTTGGGATCTAAAATCAGGGAGGGGTTAGTATCCGCACAACATAGGACCAGGGAAGCTGAATCTGACACTGGGTACTCCCATATCACAAATTCTTGGATTTGGGTTGGTGAAAAGAAATTTGGGATCTGGGAGTTTTAAAGGTGGGGGTGGCGGGTGACTGGACATCCCCCTTTCTCATCGATCAAACCCCTCCACCCCACCCCAACACCTGTCCCAGTATTGGGCCCGGCTACAGATTCCTCACCCTCTTTCTCCTTCACGGGCCTGCACTAACCTGGCTCGGTCTCCACGCCGCTCCCGCTCACTCTCCTGGTCCAGGGATTGACTCTGGGCGGCGGCGCCTCGATGAACTCCTTCCTGCGGCCGCTACCACCAGCCCTCTGCTCCTCAGCGCTGTCTCCAGCCTGTCCCGGGGGCTCGGAGCCGGGCCCTGGTCCAGGTCCGCACGCCACTCCGGGCTCTGCAGGCGGAGCCGGGCTGGGAGTGCCGGTCTCGCCGGCACAGGCCGCTTTACTCCACGGGTTCACCTTGGGCGGCGGGGCTGCCATGAGGCGCTTGGCCTCAGGCCTGGTGCTGGTGCCGGTGCCAGCCCCGGCCTGGGAGGATGCCTGCTCGGGCCCGGCGGCCTGGCGCAATGCCGGGGCCTGGGCGTGTACCGAGTTCTGGGCCGGCTCCGAACGCGGTTGCTCCGGGGCCTGGGCTCCGTGAGGCGACGGCAGACTCTGCACCTGCGTGGCCATGGCGGCGGCTGGGCTCGCACTCGGACTCCGTGTGGCAGCAGCGTAAACGCGCACGCACCGCGCCGTACCCACGCTTACCCGGGGCGCGCACGCACCACGCCGTACCCACGCTGACCCGGGGCGCGCACGTACTGCGCCGTACCCACGCTGACCCGGGGCGCGCACGTACTGCGCCGTACCCACGCTGACCCGGGGCGCGCATGCACAGCGCCGTACCCACGCTGTCCCGGGGAAGAGAGCAAGGCTGGGCGGGGCTTGAAAAACTGGGCCCTCCCACACACCCACCCGGCACAGAACCCCGCAACATCCCAAACACACCCCCCCC